GGGAGGGCGAGGGCTGGAGCCGGTGGCCTGGCGACCAGGCGCTGAAGGGGTCTGGGGCATTTTCGCAGGGGTGGACCCCAGCGTGCGTGGGAGTCTTGTCATGTATAGGGTGGGGACCTGGACTTCAGTGCGCAGCCCCAGCCTACAGGGACCTGCAGGTCCCGAGCCAGGCTGGGTCCGGATTGCAGGGGCCTCTCATATACCTGCGCAGGTGACCCTGGCTGGGCTCACGTCGGTGCCACACACGTCCTCCACCACCTCACAGAGCTTCCACTCAGGGCCGCGGCACCAGACTGCGAGCGCAGGTCCACGTGTGGCGTTGGTGATGCTGGTGTTGCCCGTGGAGGTCCAGAGCTCAGGCTTCGGGGTCGCAGTTGCCCTGCCACATCCTAGGGCTTGGCACACAGCCTCGGCAGCCTGCTGGTCCCACAGCGCCAGGCACACAGGCACCCAGGCAGTGTGCAGCTGGACCTGCACCTCCCCTTGGCAGCTGCCGTTCCAGTGGGCCAGGCGCACCCTCAGCCGTGTCCCTGGAGGGAGAGGTTTGGCTGGTGAGCCGGGCCACTCCTTCTCCTTTCAGAATGGGGCTGAGAGAGGGCCTGCTGTGGGACTGGCTCTCTGGTCCCCTCTGCAGTCAGAGAAAGGACCCAAGGGTGACCTGGTCAGGGTGACAGAGCCCTGTCTCTGGGGACCCCTTTGTGGCTCTGGATCCTGGCTCCCAGATCAGTTCTTAAGGAATCTGAGGGAACTTCACCCGGCCAGGAGGAGCGGTGCTTTCAGAAGTCAGGGGCCTGGGTGTCTTCCCCAGCTCCCCAGAGGCCCCAGTGGGAGGGTCCTCACCTGTCTCTGGAGCCTGGTGGCTGGTGTTGTGCTGGCTGGGTGCAGGGGTGGCCAGGAGCTGCAGACCTGAAAGGCAGTAGCAGAGCCGGGGTGAGCGGGATTGGGCTTGGGGCCTGGAGGTGCCCTGGGGCTGGGGCTTCCTGGAGCCTCGCTTTGGAAAGACCGGGTCCTGGCTTGGGGTGTCCGGCACCTTTGGGCCAGGGACAAACTGCTCAGCCTGAGTGGCATGGACTTCCCTCCTGGGCCAGGCCTGCCACGTGGCTGTGCCTGCTGGGAGCACTGTGGGCTGAAATGAGGCTCCTGAGAAGCTGGAAGTGGGGGAGGTTTGGGGAAGCACAGCCTGGAGAATCTGGGAGTTTCCGCCACTCTGGGTAGCTGGGACTTGCTGGCTGAGGACGAGGGACCATGAGGTGCTGTCGGGGGAGGACAGAGCACCTTCACCAGCGCCTGTTACGCCAGCTGCGATCACACAGTGGGTGCAGGTATTCACCAAAAGGGAGGCCCAGGGCTCCGGTGATTGCCCGGCATGTAGCAAATGTCCCTGCCCAGCGCTAGCAGACTGTGAATGGTACCTGCTTTTCGCTTTCCCTAACTAACTCAGTTGTACTGCTTCATATGAGGAGCCAGACTGAAGCCCTGCGTGACTCAGACCGGCCTGTGAGAGGGCGGACTGGGCGAGCACAGCCTTCCCCAGTGGCTGCCACGGAGACCTAGGCCCTGCTCCGTGAAGGGGCAGGGCCCTGCTGAATTCCTGCAGCTGAGGTCAGCGTGACCCCAGTTAAAATCCTTTCCCCTGAATTACCGCTTCTCACTGACCTTGTGGGTCACTTGCTAATTGCGCCTGGTCCCAGTACCGGTTTCTTCCGTCCTAGCGAGACAAGCAGGGCCGACTCCCTGACAGCCCTGCCTGGCGCCATCACGCCAGGTGCTCGGCAGTGATTCACTAGATGCCTTCAGAGCTCCCTGCTCCCGGTTCCTTCTCACGACTGTATTCAGTAAGTGTGGATGCGCTTGGGGGCCTTCGTCTTTGTCTATAACTAGCCTTTTGCTGTTGTGGCTCGCAGGAGGCCAGGACCCATTCCCTTCCCTAAACCTCCAGAGTCGCTGTCCCCTCTGTCCTGAGGCAGAGCTTAGCCTTTTCCTGGCCTTTTGGTTTCCAAGGGTGTTCTGGATGGGGCCTGGCAGAAAGGGCCGAGGGAAGAGGGTGGTGTCCCGGAGCCTGCTGCCTGGCTGCCTGGCTGCCTCTGACCGGAAGCCATCATTTCCCTCACGGTAGCCGCACTGGCCATGCTGGCTGGGCTCCGCTGTCCTCGGCTCAAGTAGCCAGTGTCAGAGCAGGGCCCGCTCTGTCCCCAAGCCCCCGGCTCCACACTGCTTCTCGAGCGCAAAGGGTGGGCTGGGCTGGGCGGGTCCCCGGAGGGAGGATGGTTCTCCATTGCTGAGCCCCACAGGTGGGCCCGGCCTGGCTGGTGCAGAGGAGGAAGACCCAGAGCGGTGCTGCCCAGGAGACCTCACGCTCACTCCTCACAAGCACGCGCACGCACGCGCACACACACGTGACCTGGCCTGGCACCAGGGAAAGTGACTCAGAATTCAGAGCCCATGCCTGGCTGGGAGGTGACATTCAGAGCCACTTCAGATGCCCACGAGGGAGACTGCAGTGCTGAGGTTCCCATGGCAACGGCCCGTGAACCTGTGAGGTTTTGAGGGGGAGTTGGAGGACTGCTCTGCACATGTACGTGTGTGTTTGTGTGCACGCGTGTAGCTATGGCTCAGTTCTGCACCGTTGCTCTCTGACTCTGGAATGCCACTTTCTCCTGCATAAAATCACACATATTCCCAGCAGAAATCCTAGTGGCCAAGGCCAGCTGTGGGTGCCCTGAGGAGCTCAGTGGACTGTTTTTGATTGACTGACTGGAAGAGAGAGCAGGAAGCTCCCAGCCCTGGGACAACTGCTGCCTAGTCAAGCTGCTCAGAAGAGGCCCTGTGAGGTCAGGACCTTGGTGAGACTGTCCAAGTTTGACTCCAGGGGAGGGGCAAGAAGGGGCATAGAGCATAGGAGGCCCAGACCTCTAAGAGCCTCCTGGTGCAGAGTCTGAGAAAATGGGGCTCTGTGGGAGGCTGAGGCAGGAGGATTGCCTGGGATCAATCCCCAGTACTGCCAAGAAAGAAAGAAGGAAAGAAAGGAAGGAAGGAAGAAAAAAAGAAAGAGAAAGAAAGGCAGGCAGGGAGGGGGAAGGGTCCTCTGCTGTGTCTCTGTCAGCCAGGCCTGTGGTGTTGTGGGCATCTGAGGGCAGAGATGTAGCTGAGGTAGCAAAGGCACCAGGCCCGGGCCAGCAAGCTCAGCGGGTACCCTCAGGTCCCGGGGTTCCCGGGGAACCATCCTGGGCCCCGAGCTGGTGTCAGATAACCGCCCACTCAGCCCCTCCAGAGCCGAGCATGAGGAGCCGCATGACCCATGCTGGCCAGGTGCAGGGGGAGGCGGGTTCTGCAGAAAGGACCGGCGTGGGCTGTGGGCCATGGGCACCAGCTGAGAGCACTAGAGGAAGGGAAGTCAGTGCCAAGTGCTCGCCAGCCTGTGTGCCACCTCAACAGCAGCCACAGTGACCAGCCACACTAGTAAGATTCAGTTTTCCCACTGCTGAGAGTCTGTCCTGAAGAAATGGCCCAGCGTAGCACCACACCTGTGATCCTGCTACCCAGGAGGCTGAGGCAGGAGGCTGCATCCTCAAGGACAGTCTAGGCAACTCAGTATGTCTGTGTCTCAAGGTCACAAAAAAGAAGAAAAGCAAGAGCCCCATGTGGCACAGTCCACAGAGGTTGGGTCCACGAGACAGAACTTGGAGGGGAAGCGGCTGATCACGTGACAGGGGCCTGTCGCCAAGCCTGCAGGGCTCGCGGGCTCCTGTGAGGCCAGTGCTGCTGGGGACAGGGGCTTCTGGCCACACTGGCTGTCAGAACCAGAGAACAAAGGCGGCCAAGGAAGCCTGGGAAACACGGACAACCAAAGCAAACACTGTGTCCCCGCTGGAGACAGCGGATCGTCTGAGGGAGCTGTCCAGGAAACAGCACGTCCAGCGTTCAGGTTTTGGTGACTGGGATGTTGGTGGCTCGGGCTGGGGCAGGAGCTGGTGCAGGTCACCATGCTGAGCAGAGACCACCCACAGCAGCCGGCAGCAAGCTGGGGACCCTGGTGCGGAGCACAGCAGGGCCATGGCCATGCTGGGCCCCGCATGCCTGGGAAGGCGGTTTCAGTCCCACTGTGTGCATCTGCCCAGAAGCGCTGCTGAAGGACGCAAACACCTGGGCTTCAACTCTGCAGCAGAGCAGGAGCGCAGGAAAGGGAAAATGCTCACGCGGCCAGTTCCTGCCTTCTATCCACTTGGCATACTTTTAAATTTTTCACACATTCTACGTTTAAATTAAGCACCTTTGGCAGCATGCAGTGGTGCACACCTGAAATGAGGCTGAGGCAGGAGGATGCCTCGAGTTTAAGGCCAGCCTGGGCTATGTAGTGAGACCCTGTCTCCAAAAGACAAAACAAAAGCAAAATTAAATATCTCCAAATAATCACAGTGGCATCTTCTTGGGGCGGGGGGCGCCTGATGAGCTCAGCCGCCCGCTCCTTCTCCCAGGGCCAGAGCAGGCTGCGGCTGTGACTCTGAGATTCCACTCCTGACTGGGACAGGTCCCCGGCCGCACCGGACCTGTTGCCTCCCTGCAGAAGCAGCCTGTGAGCTTCCGTCTCTCCTGGGCCTGGGCTGTGTGGTTACAGCGAGGTGACACGAGTGTGGGGGACAGCGTCTGCTGAGCGCCTGCTGTGTGATCTGTGGGTGCAGCTGCAGCTGTCACTGGCATCATCACTGAGAAACAGACAGGCTCAGAAAGTCACCAGGGTGGACGGTGGTAGATGAGAGATTCGAACCGGGCGGTGCAGCAATGAGAGCCTGAGCCGGGCCTCGAACACGCTAGCCAGGGTCTCTACCAGCAAACCATTCCCAGTCCTTTTCATTTCAAGCTCCTGTGAGCCTCCCGCCTTGGCCTCCTGGTGCTATTACAAGCATGCACCACCGTACCCAGCCTCTTTTATTTATTAATTAATTAATTAATTAATTTGTCAACAGCCTCAGGCCTGGGACTGCAGGTCTGTGGTGGGGTGGCGGGTGCTTTCCTAGCACATGCAGGACCCTGGGCTCGACTGTTTGCGTGGGGAAGGAACCAGCTCACAGGTCACCTGCTCACTCTCAGCGCCCGGCCCGGGCAGCAGCTGGCATTGCAGAAGTCTGAGCCCAGGACGCAGGGTGAGGGGCCGCGCTGAGTGTCCACTGCCCTGAGGGGCTGGGACCCCAGATGCCTGGCTCAGCCCTTGGTGCCTTTCCCTCACCAGCCCTTCGGAATGGCTTCACCTTCATTCTCACAGCACGGCAGAGGCGGGAGACCGGGCCCGAGAGACGAGCCGGTTCGAGCCCCACTTAGCCTCCTCTCTGGCCCCCGGCCTGGGCTCCCAGCTGGTGACTGAGCCAGCTGAGCCCCCTCCACCTGTGCACCTGCTGCGGAGGTCACGGAGACCCCGCAGCGCCAGCCCCTGGCTGAAGCAGAGCGTCAGGGCACAGCTCCCAGGCTCCGGCCCGTCCCACGGCCACCCACGCCCTGTCCCAGCTCAGCCAGGGCTGTCTTCAGATTCTGGGCAGAGGGGCTGCACCAGAAGGAAGGGACCCAAGGAATCTCTCGGGTGGCCCACAGGAACAAGCGTGGCTGGCTGCAGCCCCCCACTCCCCCACATGGACCAGAGCAGGGCGGGGCTGGGGGAATCTGCCTGGGCAGGGTCCCTGCTTTCTGGGTCCCTCCCGAGGGCGGCCGGGGGATCAGCAGCATCAGGGAGACAGAGCCTACACCATCTGCTGTGGGAGGGCCTGGCTCTGGCTCCACTGTGCCCTGGGCACAGTGCATGGCACATGAGAGCCTGTGGCGTGCACCCAGAGACCGGCCTGGTCTCCACCCGCGGTCCGTGGTCCATCGCACGTCCCACCCTCCTGTCTGGGCGGCTGGGTGACTTCCTCTTCCCACAGGGGCCTCTCCACCCCCAAGCCAGCTCCCCAGCCCTGGTCCTGAGGGGTGCGGCTGTGGTTGCCATGGCAGCAGGCTTTCCTCAGAGCGAAGGCTTCAGCCTGGGCTGTGCAGCCACCTCTGGCCTCCTCTGGCCCAGCCAGCCTGCTTGTGGGTTCAACGGTGAAGGAGGCAGCAGCCAGGAGCCGCACTCCCAGGATGGAGCCGCATCTCCAGGTCTCGAAAGCCAGCTTCCTCCTCACTTCTCACAGCGTGACGTGGGCGGAGCCCTTCCCACGCGCTGTTCACCTCTCTTGCCTCGTGGCGCAAAAGCCTCTGTCATGGACGAATGCCACGTCCCAGGGAGCCCAGCTCCCGGTGTCTGCACACGGGGTGGACGAGTGTGAGCACCAAGTAGGGGCCAAGCCGAGGCCCAGGACAGCGGGGCCTTACAGGGGGAGCGCCCGGGAACACGGCCGATTGCCCTGCCTGAGGTCCAGAGTGCTCAGAGCTGACCCGGAACTGGAAGACCTCTGGTCTGCTCCGGGGTTCACGACGGCAGAGAAATGAGACGTGATCTAACAGTCCAGCTGGAGAGGGGTGGAGGGTGTGCGGGCAAAAGACACAGCGGTCTAAACTCCTTAAACATGTATTACAGCAGAAGACACGCTGTCGTAAAGCCACTGCAGAACCTGCCCCTTGCTCCCAGGGCACCCATCCTACCATCCTGGCCACTTTCTGAAGCACTTCTGCCTCTTTCTTGCCTTTCTGTGACTTGCTGATGTCCGGATTCAATTCAGACATTCCCCTTTCCTGGTCATTCTGACCTTGGGGAAGAGCCGGAGGCCCCACAGTATGGGTTCTGGTGATGGGGTGGAGGGGATGCAGCGCTGTGCTTTTCTGAGCTGCCTCTCCAACTGGGTGGCAGTTGACAGCCGCGTCACCTAATTTTTGATCACTGCTCATAAAGACACTCAGGAAAGAGGACTCCAGAGCTGCTTCTGACAGCGGCCGGCGTGGCGAGGGCGTGTGTTCAGTGAGGGGGACAATGTAAGGGGAGGTCGTGGCAGTGGCTTTTCACTGAAGTAGGTTTTTAAATGTAAACATCCACATTTTCCACCACCTTTGTACCTGTGTTGTCCACGGACTGGATTGTTCAGCTGAATGCACAGCCTGGGTCTTTATCCACCTGGGAGACCTCGGAAACAGGAGCTGGTGAGCTGCAGACCCCACGCCCCGGGACAGCAGGCGAGTAAAGTGTCACTCGCCCACTGGCCAGGTGAAGAGGCGTTTTTGTACTAAAAACGTCAAAATGTGGGCAGAAGTGAGCACCCCCCACACAGTGGGCAGGAAGGGTGAGGGTGCTGACGATGCCTCACGGTTTTCTTTCTTACGAATTCTTTCCTTGTTAGAACGGAGCACGGCCTTGGAGTCCGGATTTGGCTGTGGAGTGGGTCTCCTTGACACCCGGCTGTGCTGCACACACAGGCCTCTGGAGGTGGCGGCCGTCTCTGAAGGCGGTGTTGGTGGGAAGCTTTTCTTTTTTTGTTTTTCTGTATTTTCTAAAGTCTGTAGCATTTTACTATGTACAATTTTAGTGGTCAAAATAAATGCAAAACTGTTCAAAACTGGGTCCAAGGGATGCATCCTGCCAGTGTCCCCGTGCTGGGCCTCCAGTCTCTGCAGCCGCATGCAGGACTAGGACAGGGACTGTGGCCACTTTACAGGTTGGGTGGTTTAGGTGCAAAAGATCTAGGAAGACAGGGGGGTGGCACATGTTTTAACCCCAGCACTCTGGGAAGCTGAGGCAGGAGAGTCAGAAGTTTGAGCTCAGCCTAGGCAACTTAGCAAGACCCTGAGAGAGAGGGTAGAAGGACAGAGAGGGACACAGAGGTCACAGAACTTTCTGGAACATTAGAGCTTATGGGGTGAGGGGCGAGTTATCGAAGGAGAGGAATCTTTGCCCGGGGCTTGGCAGTCAGGGACTCCCCTGGGCAGGATGTCCTCCCCACCCCACCACTCCAGGAGTTCAGGAGTCCAGGTCCCAAGGGAGGCTGGGCAGGTTCACCGGTACTCAGGGCTGCCACATGCCACTGCCCGCAGCCATAGCCACCAGGACCGGAGCTGAGGGTGCACCCGACCCTGGATTCAAATCCAGGAAACGGGCACGGAACGCCCACCTTCACCCTGGCTGTATCCCCAGAAGGTGCTCTTAGCTGTCTGCACGACTGCCTCAGTTTTCCCTGTGGGGAGAGTTGGGGTGCTTCCTTGGCTCCCCACTGCCTCTCCATGCCAATTGCTGTGCCCGGCTCTGCAGAGGACCATGGGAGACAGAGCTGATGGCCCCAGATCCCACGGGAGGCAGACACGGCTCGGGCGACACTGAGTCTGGGTCCCGAACCCGGCCCCACACAGCACCGTGCTCTCCCCCTGCTAGGCCTCTGCCAGGTGCGAAGGCATCCACCCCAGTGACCCATGCACATTCGTGTTCACAGCAGCACATGGGGAGCACGGCTTGGGAGCACTCTACATGCCCATCAGCAAATGAAAGGCTAAAGAAATGTATTTACACAGGACGGAGCACTCTTCTGCCACAGAAAAGGAGGAAACCCAAGTCACTCGTAGGTTCTCTTTCACTTTAAAGGGTGTGGTTGACACTCCTGCCAAAGCCTGACAAAGTCAGCGGCCAGCCTGCCGGCCAGTGCTTCACCCCAGCTCACTTCCCATTGTGACAGTGAACCACGGCTAGGTAGAAGAATTCTAAAAACTTATTTCTAGCTGCTCTGGGACAGAAGCAGACATTCGAGAAAATCATGGGGGACCTGGTGGGATAAATTTCTCCCAGGGCTCCCCAGTAAGTGAAACTGTGCTGGAATAAGACAGCTTCGTACGACTGGGGACAGAGGACGGCAGGGCTGCTACTCGGCCCGCCCTCCCTGCCGGGGGCACTCACAGGGCACACGGGCACTGCCACCACCAGCCCCTGGCTGGGCCCCGGCACACGCCACAGCCCCTCTGCCTGCCTCTGAGGGGGTTGCTCTGATGGCCTCCCCAGGGAGGATGGGAGAGGCAGAGGCCTGCTGCTCGCCGTGGGTGTGGTTGGCCTTGCCGTCCATGGTGCCGTGGCCCCAGGCTGACCCCCAACGTGCCCACCTCCTCAGCACAGCCCAGACCTGGAAACCACAGGGGCTGACAGTTGCAGAGGGGCCTCTGCCCTCCCCGTCCTGGGCCCCAGCTTCCCTTGTATTCTGGGCCCATGCATGTGGCACTGCCAGGCCAACCCCACGCCGTGGGCCTTGGGAAGGGCGGCACCCTCAGCCCCTCCGCTGCGTGGACTCCGTGGTGAGCTGCAGGCCGGGGTGGCAAAGGGAAGTAGCCTGGGCAGGGGCCGCTCAGCTCTGGGCTCGGCCTCACCGCTGCGGCTTCTGGCCCGGTCCTGCTGAGCCTCCAGTCCCACCTGTGGGATGGGCCGTGGGCTGAGCGCTGTGCTGCCCACGTCTCGGCAGCGCCACCTCCTGCACTCCCGCTTGGTGGCTGTGGCCGCCCCGCCGGGCTCAGCTGACACCTGGGCCCACGCCGGGCTGGGTGTCTATACCCACTGGGCACCTCAGGTGCAGCACTGCGCAGAGCCCAGGCCTCCTGACCCCAGCTCCCTGCGCAGGCCCACACTCCGCCTCACTCTACAGGATGCACTGAGCCCAGCACCTTTAGGCTGAGTCCTCTGTGTTCAGTTTGTCCACCTTGCTGGGCCTGGTGGCGCACTCCTGTGACCCCAGACTCTGGGAGGCTGAGGCAGGAGCACTGCAAGGTCAAGCCCAGCCTGGGCAACTTCACAACTCCGCAAGACTACTTCAAAATTTAAAAAGGACTGGGGGCCATAGCTCAGTGTGAAAGCATGGGGTGCAATTCTCAGTACCACAAAAAAGGAAGAAAGAAAGACTTTTTCCAGAGAGAAATTAGGGCCAAAGAAAGGAACTCGCTGCATGCCCTTCTCACCCCAAGGACTCCCTTCTTCCAGCCACAGGGACTCAGGTTCCCAGAGTCGAACCGCGAGACTCGAGTTCAGGTCCGATCCTGCTGCACAGTGGCCAGGGGCAGGAGGGGCCCAAGCTGAGGCCACCTTTGCAGGGTCCCTGAGCTTCTGGGGCTCAGTCCTGAGAGTGGCCCGCCACGCCTCTCTCTGGGTGCTTGAGGGAGCGGTGTCCTGACCCCTGTCCCCTACACCCGCCCTGATCAGCCAGGCATCCAGCTGGAGTACGGCCGGGTGCCTCTCATGGCGCTCATTTGTGTCCCAGTGTGGCCAAGTCCGGGCTTTCCTTCCAAGGGAGGTCTGCTGAGGGAGCGGCCAGGTGGCCGGCAGGGACCGGCAGGAGCCCTCTGTCCTCCCTGTGCCCGAGCCCCGCAGCAGGCCAGTGAGGTTCATGCCACGCGTGCCTGACGAGAGGTGGGAAGCGGCCTGCACTGGCCCCTGGCCTGGGGCTGACTTTGGTTGGTTTGTGTCCGGGGCTGAGGCTGGAGGAGGGTGGCTGGTCCCTCAGGTCCCTTCCAGCCAGCCCCTTCTTGGATGCCCTGCAGCCCCTGTCCCAAAGGCTCAGGCATGGCCACCAGCATGTTCCTCCCTGCCCCAGCTCAGGAGCCTGGCTCCTGAGCCTCAAAATCACACTGCTGGGACCAAATGAATTCCCAAACTTTCCTATCAGGAAACGAGGCCGGTGTGGCCACCGACGCAGGCCCACACCTGTAATCCCAATGACTCAGGAGGCTGGAGATGGGAGGATCACAAGTTCGACACCAGCCTGGGCAACTTAGTGAGACCCTGTCTCAAAAATAAAAAGTGCCAGGGGCCCGGGGATGTAGCTCAGTGGTAATGCGCCTGCCTTGTAAGCACAGGTCCTGAGTTCAATCCCTAGTACTGGAAAAAACAAAACATTGCCAGGGCGGAACTCTGTGTACACCAGCTATCATCCCCGGTGCCACAGAGGAAAATGAAACGAAAGAAGCCCTTGCTAAACCAGGGACCCCACCGCGCGCCCAGGCCTTGCTGAAGGCGCCACCTCCTCTGGGCCTCCTTGGGACAGCCACTGCCCCAGGACCGAGAGCCACCGGCCACTGGGGGTGACATTGGAGCCTCTCAGATGGGGGTTGAGCTCGGGGCAGATCTCAGGGGAAATGTATGGGGACTGGCCCAGAACAGCAGGACCACAGGTCCAGCTCCTAAAGCACCCTCCCAAATCCCTGGGGACATCTTGTTGCTATTCTGGGGTTTTTGTTTTGTTTGTTTTGATTCCCCGGGATCAAACTCAGATCCTTGCACTTGTGAGGCAGAGCTGCATCCCCAGCCCTCTCCGCTACTCTGTGATAAATGGGATTCACAGAGCTGGCCTGCAGCCCCTGCTGAGTTCTCCCCCACCACAAACAGCGCCCGGGCCCCACCCCAGCCCCACAAAGGCAGGGTTCCGTAACTCTGAAGACTGCTCAGAATGTCACAGGAGGCGCTACTCGGTGAGCTCAGCTTCAAATAGCCACGTTTAAAGTCAAAAGAGGTAGTGAACGCGACCGTGAAGATACTATTCATCTAATCCTCAGACCTGGATATCGTCATCTGGACACGGGACTCACATCCAGTTCAGTAAGGACGTACGGTGCGCCCTGTGGACGCCCGTCTGCTGTGTATTTTATATTTTATATGCCACGATGTGAACCACTCCTCAGAGCTGCCGGAGCTAAGGGAACTAATTGGCCACACGTGTGAGGGGCACCTGTTCTTTAGAGACACACGCTCTGCTTGTCTTGGTTGGCTCCAATGTTAATCTAGGGCCCCTGAAAATCACTGTAAAATTACTGGGTTTGGCTGGGTGTCCTGGCTTCAGTCACACAGTCCTGGGTGTTCGGGAGGCTGAAACAAGCAGATCGGGACTTTAAGGTTCAGCCCAGGTGACACAGTGAGACCTGTCTTGAAATAAAAAATAAGGACAGGGGCTGAGGATTTAGCTCAGTGGTTCCGGCACCTCCCTTGCAAGCACAAGGACTTGAGCTTGATCCCTGGTGCCAAAAATAAATAAATAAATAAAATAGGAACAGGATGCAGCTGTCAGGGGTAGAGCACCCTTTGGTTCAAGGCCCAGAACTGAAAACAAAAATACTGGGCAATTTGTATGTTGAATTTATAAGTCAATGAAACAACATATTCTTTAAATTTTTAATTAAAGAAGCGAAGTGGGTTTCTTTTGGGGAGTGGGCGCTAGGGATGGAACCCATAACTAGGCGAGCACCCCCAGCCCAGGATGTCACTGTTCCCCGAGTTGCCACAAGTGACCTTTTTAGCACCCAGAAGCGGCCTTTGAGGGTCTTCCGACTGCCCGTACAGGCAGAAACACATCACAGAGCCGATTTCTGCCCAATTGCCCCCACTGTTGGGGAGACCAAGGTCCAGAAAAGACAAGAGGCACAGGTGAGCAGTGGCCGGTCGGAGTCAGGACCCCACTGGCCTCCCGCCCAGGGCTTCCAGCCCAGCCCCTCCGCCCTGCACTCAGGTAGCCAATCAGGAAGCTGAGGAGGAATTGGAGGGTCTGGCCCGGCTGCTGGGAGCGCCCGGTCTCTGAGCTCTGTCCCCGGCCCCAGGAGGGCCCACGAGAGGCTGTGCTGGAGCCCAGCCACCCTGGCAGGAACGCTGCTGCGTGAAGCCAAGTAGGGAGGGGACAGGGCTGCTCCAGGGCCTCCTGCCCTCTGCCTGTAAAGCCCTTCCTGAAAAGCATCTCCTCCACGACCCGGACCACTTCCTTGGTGACCCTTAGAGCTTCAAGAAGCAGCACCACAGGCCAGTACTTCACAGACATGGGACACATGGGACAGTCCCCACTCAGAGGGCTTCCAGTCCTCTCCAAGTCCAGAATAAAACGCTGGCTTGGGGCACACTGTCTCTAAACCCTCCAAGTCTCCCCACCCCAGGGCCCTGCGCCCCTGCGACTTTGGCCGGAACAGACCGCCTTGGGTTTGGCTGCCACGGATCTCACTCTCCCTCCCCTTTTATTAATGGCAAATGACAGCAGTTTCCATTTACAGCAGCGATGTAAAGTTTCCTTTCCAAACCCAACCTTTGTCAGTAAAAACTGACTCCATTGACAGCAATGTCTCATCAAAAGCACACAGGAGAGGAGGGTGCTGGGGTTCTCCGGGCCAGGGTCTCGGGGAGACAGACACCACCGCGGGAACCCACAGGGCCCCGTCCTGCTCTGCCCAGGGCCCTCGGGCACACAGTGTCTGGCTCAGCCCCGGCGCTTTTCCTGCAGGAGCCCCACGAGGAGGCCACCCAGACTTAGCGCGGGCCCTGGGAAGGTCGGAGAGGAGCTCGGATGGAGAGGGCCTCCCGTCACCTCTCGGCTCAGGCAGAAGCAACTGGTCCAGCCACACACATCCCTGGCTGTGGCCCCACACATCCCTGGACTGGCTGAGCTTGGGCCTGGAGCCAGGCCTGCCCTCTGGTACAGAGGAGTCCGCGGCCAGCTGGATGGCCCTGGCCCTGTGCTGGGGGACCCCACTCCGAGCCCAGACCGTTTCTCCCCAGCTCCCCACCAAGTGTGAGAGGTGCAGTGGCCAGGTGTCTTAGTGCTTGGAGACAGTGCTGGGGGAGTCAAGGGGCTCCCTGAGTTACGCAGCAGGTTGTACCCAGGCCACTGGCCACCAGCGATGGCCTTTGGGGTCCCGGGCTCCCTCTGAGTCCCAAAGCTCAGCTTTGCCCTTGGCGTGGCCCTGTCTGTCCGGAAGGGTGGGGAAATAGAGGAGCAGCCGTCCGCACATCAGGTGGGGGCTGCGCCTCCCGTCCAGCCCCAGGGCCCTCGGTACGACACAGAGCATGCTGCCCGTCATCCTGTCCCACGCGGCCTCTCCGGGGGCAGGAGCGCTAGCCGTGTCCTGCTGCCACACCCAGGGTCTGGACCCACAAAGTCCTGGCTAAAAGGCTCCCCAAAGTGACCTGACCCCCAGAGGCTGGACCTGGCCCCCCAGCTCGGCGGCCGGAGGGGGTGGAGGGTACCTGAGAGGGATGCTGACAGCCGTCCAGCGAGGCCGAGGAAGAGCCACATGGCGGGCGCCATCTCCGACGGCTAGGCAGGCTGGGCCGCGGGTTGGTTTTATTTACTTGAATGTAGTCATCCTTATGACTTCTCTTTTGGCTTCAAAATTATTTTAAACCAGAATAAATTACTGTATAGTAACTGACATTTATAGATTATTCCCAAACAAACCAAGGCATGAATTAAAAAAGCTGGGTCTCACTCACTGGCAACAAAGCCCAGCCCAGGAGCACCTCACCTCTACGTGCTGCTTGTGGTTTGGTCTCCAGGAAGCCGGGCTGCTGCTGCAGGGTACGGGGAGCCCCAGCTGCTGTGTCACTAGCTGCCTGGCGCCAGACCCGGGAGAGCCAGAGTCACATGCGTGGCACAGCACAGCCCCCAGTGGCTTCTGGGAGGCGAAGGCAGGAGGTGCGGTGCCGTCCTGTCAATTCAGATTCAGCCAGTGAGCACTGGGACAGCAGCTTCTAGGTCTCCCTGCTCGGGTCCGGCTCTCGGGGACTACGGCCTGGGCTGTGTGGAGTCGCTGGGGTGGGGTAGTGAGGGGCGGGAGCCCAGGAGTCCCCTGGACAGCGCAGACTGTGGGGGTCTGAGCTGCGATCGTGCCCGTCTCCTGACCCTGACATGGAGCCGGAACTGTGGGCAGAGGAGGAGGCCTGGGCCGCCCGGGAGGAGCTGAGTGGTCCCCACAGAAGGGGGCTTCATTGGCCACTGTCCTCCCGGTGTGCACACAGTGGTGCTGAATACACAGCAGCTCGGCTGTTTAAGCAGAGCCCTGGAGTCCACACCGGGCTGCCCCACCCTGGCCCTGCCCAGGAGCTCTCCTTGGGGTCCCCTTGCCTGGCCCCCCACCGACCACACTCCCTTGCTCCTCTTCTCTCCCCAGCTGGTCCAACGCAGGGGCCCTGGGTGGGGCAGGTTCGGGGCTCTGCAGGGCGTCTGGTGCACCTGGCTGTGGCTGCCCCCTGGTGGAAAGTTGTGGCAGCACGGGCGGCACATGGGCTTGGGCATACGGGCAAGGCCAGCTCCGGACCATCTCTGTTGTTTTGGGGGACGGGTGTGTGGAGAAAAGCAACAGCAGGAGGAGTGGCCGGCACGGCCTCCGGCTCTTCCTGTTCCTCTGCCTGTGGCGAGCACCTCCTCCGTCACAGCGTGGCCACCACGTGCTCTGCTGCCCACCAACACCAGCCCGGAGCAGCAAGCCAGACGGAAGCTCTGCAGCTGGGAGCAGTCAGCTCTCTTCTCCGCTCCCAGTTTCTGTCCCAGCCACAGAAAGCTGACAAGCACAGTATTACATCGTCCTTAGAAATGCAGGAAGGAAGTCACTGGAAGTCAAGAGCAACAGCAAAGAACCAGTCCAGGGAGCAGAGGTGGCCCTGGCTGGGGAGTGAAGGGAGAGCAAGTGGGTGTGTGCCACTTGGGCACATGCGGAGGGACCCTTGCGGGCAGCTGGCTCGGCTCAGCCCCAGCTCTGACAGCAGGGGAGGCACCGACTGGCCTCACCGTGCGGGCCTAGGCCCAGCCCACAGAGATCCAGAGGGGGCATGAGGGCATCAGGGCGGCACCACCGCTGCGAACACACGCAGAGCCAAAGGGACGAAGGAGCCCCGGGCACAGGGCAGGAGCAAGTGACAGGGCCACAGGAGAAAAGGAAATAGGCACGAGCTCAGACAGGCTCAGCGCAAGCCTGGGACCAGACGAGCACTCGTATAGCCGGGTCTTCACGGGGCCACAACCGTGGAAGAAGCAGGGTGGACTCCGGGGGGTCCGTACCAAGGAGCTGTGGCTGTCCGCCTGGGACACAGGGAGCTGCATGTGGTGTCAGGAGCAGCTGAGGACCGACCAGGGCTGCGGGAGGCTGTGCTGTTGGCCTCGGTGGCCCAGGGCAGAACCTCTGCGGGGGAGGGGGAGCACAGCAGGGTGGTGGTGGTCGGAGTCCTCCTTAGCAGGCCGGGAAAAGCCTTTCTGGGGAAACTCACCTTGAACTCGGCCTCATACTTCCCACGGAAGGACTCGGGGCTCACCCAGAAAGAAGAACCACAGGAGGTTTGAGGGAGGCATCACAGCAGCCAACAGGAGGGAGAGTCAGCCCTCAGTGCTTTGGGTGCAGGACCATAGCCACACGATGTAAAGTTGTTGTGTGTCTGAAGGAGTGAAAGTTGGAACTGAAGCTACAGATGAGGAATGAGAGGCTACGAAAAATGGCCAGGAGATTCGGAGAATAAAATCAGATAGTGATTAGTCTCAAAATCAACAAAATTTAAAACGGCTAGGGATGGGGCTCAGTGCAAAGGCCCTGGATTCAATTTCTAGGGTCAAAAGGAAAAGAAAAGAGAGACAGACAGAGAGATCTTTCACTGCTGTGTGGTGTCTTTATCACAACATGCTGTGGTGTAGATCTAGGGTCCCCCAAGATTCTGTGTGTGGATCCCGGGCGCTGTGCCCAGCAGGGATTCACCCCCAGGCCAGCTCTCTGCTGAATGTGCGGCCCGAGGCAGGGCTGGGTGGCTGGGTAACCAGGGTGAGGTTCGAGGGGTGACCCTGGGCCCGCGCCTCCCTTCCTTTCTTCCTGGCCGCCGTGGGGTGAGCAGCTCCCCTCCGCCAGCCCCTCTGCCCAGCCGCTTCTCACACAGAGCCACGCATGGATGGGAACCAGGAGCTGAGGGGGACCTGCCCTTAGAGAAGTGGGTGCTGCTTACCGAGTCCCGGCAGCAGGAGAGTAACTATGACACAACACAAAATGGAATGACAGATAAAAGTTGAGGGAATTGGGCCAGGGATTTGGCTCAGTTGTTCTGCTGCCTGCCTCGTAAGCACAAGGTCCCGAGTTCAATCCCCAGTACCAAAAAAATTAATTAATTTATTAATAAATAAATAAAAAATTTTTAAATTGAGAGAATTTACAACAAACAGACCCTCACTTAAGGGAGTCGTAGAGGACATCCTTCAAGAATGAGGAAAACAATCCCAAAAAGTCTGGCAAAGAAATATTTAATTACAAAAGTAGATTACATAAGCAATAACTGCATAAAATAATTATGCTAACATCTGATTGGTAGAGTCAGAAACAACAGATAAAACTGAAGAACCACAAAACCGTAATGCACAAACAGTAAGACTTGATCAGGGTTAGAAAGTTGTGTTATTTGGTGGGAGGGAAACACATTACCTAGCTTTCGTTTTGCTACATCAGTTGTTCATGTAAAACTATAGAGCAATAAACTGGAACAGAGAGGAGAAAGCCTGCTATAAACCCAGAAGGCGGGAAGGAAGAGAAAGATGAAATAGGAAGAGCAGGGGTGTCGGGTGTGGGGCCGGACGCAGAAGCCCTGCAGCTGGGCCGGCTCCGCCAGCATCTCCCTCCCGGATCCGGAGCGTTCGGAAGAGGGCGGCGGACGCACCGGCTGGGGCTCGGGAGCAGGGCCCCCTGACCTCGGTTTGCATGGCCTTGCAGCTCCTCTCCATCCGGAGCCCGGCAGGTCTGTGCTGCTGACCCGGTGGCCGCTCCGTGGTGCCACACAGACAGGAGCCCCAGGGGGCTGTGGGCGGCGCCTCTGCAGAGGGGACACGGAGGCCATTCTGCCCACGAGGCGCCAAGCCCCTCACGGGGGATTCAGCTGCTGGGGAGGAGGCCGCACTGACCAGGCGCAGGCCAGGGGCCCGGTGCAGCTGCATTCTGCCCACCGCACCCCACCCCATTCCATTCTGTACTTAGCACGTCAGCGCTGCCCCATCCAGTCAGCCCAGGGAGGGTAGAGATTTGTGTCTGCTGTGTTCATTGTTCTGACTCTGACACCCTGGACGGTGCCCGGCACATGGTCAGCTGCTCTCTCTGCCTTCCTTCCTTCCTTCCTTGTACTCTGTACCTGTTTGTGTGCTAGGCTCTGTGGGACTGAAGACTGAACTCAGAGCCTTTGCACTGAGCTGCATCTCCATCCTATTTTTAAGACAGGATCTTGCTAAGCTGCTACACACCCGGGCTGGACCTGCATTCGTGATCGCAGAGCTGCTCAGGCTGGGATTGAATTGCGCTCAGGCTGTCTGGGTGCCCACCATGCTGGGACTGCGGGCGGGCGTCGCCACACCCAGCAGGTGCAGATGTCCCTCGGGCCTGTGTTACAGGACAACAGCCCTGCAGGGCCATTTCACTCTGATGCTCTCCTTAGGACCCACAAGGGAAACGTTCTCCTCCATGCTTCAGAAATGGGAGCGGCTAAGCACACGAGAGATCTCTCTGCGTCCAGCTCTCGTCCACTCCTGACGAGGAGGTGCCCACTACACCCAGGCCTGGTGCCAAGTGCTGAAGTGCAGACATGAAGAAAACACAGCTCACGTCCCCCGAGTGTAGCCCACCAGGAAAAGCAGGCAAGCAGGCGGGCAGCTGCGACGGGAGTCCCTACAGGGGAAAACACAGGTAACACCACTATGAGAAAAGCCAGGGGGACGTCTCAGGAGAAGTGACACCCGGGGTCCGATGCTGAGGTGTCCTGGAAAGCTCTGGGCTGGGGGAGCAGCACGTGCCGGGCTGCCAGTGAGAGGGAGCCGGGAGCTGTGTCTGAGGGCAGAGTCAGGCAGGTGCATGGAGGCGGGAGACATGGGGCTGGCACAAGAGCCGTCAGTGCTAGCAGGCCCTCAGTGTGGGACTCAGCTCCAAGGAGGAGGGCCTCGGAGGGGTCCAAGCACACTGGCCTCGGTGCTGAGCCTGACCTGAACGCCGGCTGTCTCTCCCAGCAGTGAGAGCGGGAGGGTGGGACAGAACAGGTGCAGGGAGGACGCGTGCCAAGCAACATCACGGAACGTGGGGACGGGGGGGCAGTGTTCAACAGGGCAGGCAGGACAGCCAAGCCTTTTCTACAGGGACCATGGACACTCAGTGAAACAACTACCACTGGTGGCAGAGCTCGGATCCTGTATATTCCCTCAAATGCCCATGCCTGGAAGGCTTGGCCCCAGCCTGTGGTACCCCTGGGATGTAGTGTGACCTTTAGAAGAGGGGCCTAGAGGAAGTGAGGTCTCTGGGGGCGTGGCTGTGAAGGCGATGAGACCCC